TCAATGGCCGGGGCTAAAGAAGGTGTGAAAGTCGTGTGACTTGAGACTTCCCTGACGGATAGGCCGTTGTTGAATAGAGTCTCATCGGCAGGATTCGACGTCTTCATCGGTGATGGCTTTTCTGATAAAGCAGATGGTCCGGGTAGTGTCTTAGGCAAGTCTGGCTTTGGTTTGGGTGCCTTCTTATTCTTTGCGGGGGGTTGTACCGCTATTGCCTTTGGGTCTTTCTGATTGGAGGGTTTGCCGTAGTAAGGCTTTTTGTTCTGTACTACTGGGTTGGCTTCCATTTCTAAAAGACGGTGTGTGTTATTGAATAGATATTCAATGATGTTTGGGATCAAAACACTTTAGACGGATTTCTCTGGGGGTTTCTAATATGTGTTTCAAAATTGTTGGTGGTGAGAACCTCTCTCCAGCAATTTAAAATTGGGAAAAAAGATAAAAGATCTGAACAAAATAATTTTCAGTACGGTAAAAGGACTTTCCTTAGCGAGTCTCCATCAGCATTTGATGTTGATTGCGGGTTGATAGCAGCATCCCCAACAGTGAGCGGCCTTGTAGGTCCTGACGTGGAGGGCTTGTGCAGGCGAAAAACACAATCAAATTATGATATGTTGGCGGGCTCTCGCGGTTCGGCGCGGTACCGATTTCGATGTGAAACCGACTTTGCGCCCAGGGCGGAAACAAGCTAGGTTGCCAGCGCATATCCTCGTCAGTGGTAATGTACAAATAATTGGCTGGAAACGCCGCACTGAATGAATGTGCCAAATCTCCATAGCCAAAGGCAATATCGTGATAAAACACAACAACTAAGGGTGCCAAGTCCAAGGCTATAATGCATTGCTGGCCGAAAAATCCGCGGACAACTCGAGATATTCTGTCTAACATAGCCGTCGACAGGGTGAGAATCAGTTGAGTTACGTTTAATTTAATTAGGACCCACACGATGATAAATGTTGTAGCACAACCGTGGTTACGAACTCGTGGAAGGGGGACACAATGGAACACAACAATGAAAAACTTAATCCGCGAGGTTTTGGTAATTCATGCACCCGCTGATAGCAAAGGCTTTCGAGGGAAGGCTCCCTCGAAAAGGAGTCGCACCGGATCCGAAAGCAGAGCTGATACGTCCGAATCGGTCAGTTTGTATCGGGAAGGGATGAGTAAGTCCCACAGTTCTCCGTCCCAGCACATCAGTGTGAACACTAGTTTTGGCCCGAACCGGTCGGTGGTGATGTTTTTTATGTCCACGACTGGTGACCACCTCTTCAGTGACTTTCACACACGTGGGGTGTCCGGTCAGGAGGGACGAAACATTGAGGAAAATAACAATAAAATCTTACCTTCTCGCATTCTCTTCTCTGCCAACTTGGGAGTTCTACTTTCAGTTGAATCACGTTTAATTTAATGAGGACCCACACAATGAAAAATGTTAAAGCACAACCGTGGTTACAACTCGTGGAAGGGGCGACCGGCAAAATAAGCGGAAAAATGGCGGAATATCAATCCAGCAAACTCGTCACCAGGCCTCAGAAGCCAGAAATCTCGCTGAGCTGTTCAGCAGTTTGCTGAGCGGCCATCTTGGAAAACTGGTAATTCCACCAGAATTTTCCAACGCTTTCGTTGAGTTCATAGCTCAGCGGGTATTTTTCGTTGGGCAGTTGTTGACTCTAATACGCATCTTAGGTACAACGCTTTCTTTCGACGGTTTTGTTCATGATTGAAGCTTGCTTTTAGATTTTTGGTGTAAATGCAGATTGTGAGGTTGGCTTCACGTGAGAAAATGGAAGTGCAGGGGCCAATCTAAGTGAAATCTAGAAGTGGGACAAAGTTATACCCATTGGTACTTTAGCTGATTTGACAGTATTTGCATCTGGTTAGAGATTGTACATTCCACCAGATCTGGAAGTTGTAATCATTTCGAACCTCAGAACGATCATTTACCTACACGTCAGCAAATAGTTTGTCGAGTATACTTCACTAGCCACCTAAAATAAATTTAGTAATCCTGTCCTTGTTTTCCATGTGAGCCATATTTGATCCATCCATGTATTGAACTTGCCTGAGTACCACCCGACTTTTTTTCTTCTTTTTTTTTCTTCTTCTTTTAAAATGAAAAATCAAGTGTAGCTCCAAACCATGTGATCCCAAATTGTGATATTTAGTTATTAAGCAGATTCCAAGGTATAAAATACGATCAGTTGTGTACGTGCCATAGCCAGCCTTGATGGTGTAGTGCTCAAGGCAATTCGCTGCCAAACACTGAGGTCTTGGGTTCAATCACCGGTGGTAACGAACTTTTAAGAACTTACGGACTTTCAAGGACTCTTAAAAATCAGCCATCGAGGCTGCTTGTCGCTTCTCTGTGGAAGGAAAATAATGCTTCAAGAGTCACTGCATTTTTTCAAGTAAAATATGTTTTTAAAATTTATCTGTTACAATGATGTGTCTAGTATTGCAGAAAATGACTTTGTTAAGAGAGGCATATTTTCAGTCTTAAAGTACGAAGGATCTTTTCTTGAACCCCCTCCCTACACGAAGTTTACTATTGCTAAGAACTGAAATGTTCTAAATTGTCATATAGGCATTTATTGCAAAAATGTATTTATTTGTCTTCTCACCCAAATCCTTTTTGCCGAGTTTCTTATCTCTTTCCTTACAAAACTAATGGTCTCAATTCTTTTCGTTTGGAATTCAACTGAAGGATGTAGAACTATTTTTTTTTTTTCATACTAAGCTGTAAAAGCATTTCGTTTCCTCTCTCTCTCATGTATCAATCACTTAAAAAATTGCATCTCTTAAAGTCTCCTGAATTATGTCTGCATGCGATTTTAATTTTATTCGATTGGACTACATTTTGCAATTTGGAACTATAAATTCCGGCCCAGTTCAAAAACAACGTATGTGCCATTAGTTTCCCTATATGCACATAAGTGTTTTTTCAGATGAGCCAGAATTTATAGGTCCAAATTGCAAAAATGCAGTCCATTTAAAAGACCCTTGGTTTTTTAATTTTTAATTTGTTTTCTTTGAAATCTTGAAGCTGTATCTTTTCCACCCATATCTTGAATTTGTATGAAATGTAAGGGAAGATTACCAAAGAGCAATGCCCTCGCATACATTTTTTGATCTGTACATCAAGTGTATTCATTTTTAATCTGTTGTCTTTAAGAACCTGAAGCTGTATTTTTTCCACCTATATATTGAATTTGTATGAAATGTTAGGTAAGATTACCAAAGAGCAACGCCTTTGTATAAATTTTTTGATCTGTACATCAAGTGTATTCCACATTCTTGTATGAAACAATTCATTATTCAATTAGTATGTATTACCTGCCATTGTTAGGAAATAAATAAACTGTTATATTTTTATATTACCAAAAACCAATTTATTCTTATTGGACAAACCTCTAGAAATGGGTTCCTTAATCTCTGAAAGTATGAGCCAAATATAATTTTAGTTTCCACTGAAAGGTAATTTTCACGTAAAGCAATGTTTTAAACATAACGGTTAGAAAAAAAATTGTCGTCNCAATAAGTGTTTTTTCAGATGAGCCAGAATTTATAGGTCCAAATTGCAAAAATGCAGTCCGTTTAAAAGACCCTTGGTTTTTTATTTTTTAATTTGTTTTCTTTGAAAACTTGAAGCTGTATCTTTTCCACCCATATCTTGAATTTGTATGAAATGTTAGGGAAGATTACCAAAGAGCAATGCCCTCGCATACATTTTTTGATCTGTACATCAAGTGTATTCATTTTTAATCTGTTGTCTTAAAGAACCTGAAGCTGTATTTTTTCCACCTATGTATTGAATTTGTATGAAATGTTAGGTAAGATTACCAAAGAGCAACGCCTTTGTATAAATTTTTTGATCTGTACATCAAGTGTATTCCACATTCTTGTATGAAACAATTCATTATTCAATTAGTATGTATTACCTGCCATTGTTAGGAAATAAATAAACTGTTATATTTTTATATTACCAAAAACCAATTTATTCTTATTGAACAAACCTCTAGAAATGGGTTCCTTAATCTCTGAAAGTATGAGCCAAATATAATTTTAGTTTCCACTGAAAGGTAATTTTCACGTAAAGCAATGTTTTAAACATAACGGTTAGAAAAAAAATTGTCGTCAAGAAAACGCTGGAATGCAAAATTGCAAGGCAAAACAGGACAGTCAAGAAGAGGATTTTCAGTCAATTTCAAAGTTTCATTTTATACTTTTTTAAAGTCCTAAACATCATTTTTGCACAAATTTACAAGAGAGAGGTCAACTCATCTGGTCGTTTCTTTTATGTGCTGGGGATTCTCATTGAAGCAGAGCAACATTCTCTCACCCCTCTGATACTAATCGATCCATTTATTGCCTTTTCATCCTCTCATTCAATAACATAAATAGATAACATATCATAAATACTAAAGAAAATGACATTAAATAGCTTAATGCATTTTCAGCGCAGAGTAGCTCATGACATTTAAGCAAATTAATGAGTAACCTAAGAACACATGAATTGAGTCTAGCAGAAACGCACCAAGTTTAAACTGAGAATAAAAGGTTTGAAGTTTTATCCCTTCATAAAACTCGATGTTAAGGACAGAATGTAGTGCCTATTTTCATGTTCAAAATAGTTTTTTTTCCTTCAATTTTTGACAGGGAAAAATTAGCGACTTAGTGAATTCAAAACTAATCCCAATTCCTCCTCTCTGAAATCCAACTTGCATGTTGCGTTACCGTTAAACTTGTCAACATGTAAGTGCGTTTACAAGATTACAATGCATTAAAGTGTTAATATAAGGTCACACTGTTCAGTTCTTTGGGTTCAATTTTTATTTTTATCTATCGACCTTGAAAATCTATGCTTGGGACAAAATTTTGATAAAAAGTCAGTAATTCTTATACCATCATCCAAATGGCAGGTAGAAAAAATAAAACAAACCATTAAAAAAGAACAATTTTTTATTTACAAAACTAGACAGGATTTTTACAATATGAGACAATAAAATTTTAAAAATTAAAGAGAACAAATTTACGTCATTAGTATTTACAAAAACATAAACATGAAAGTGATCACAGAAAACAAGAGAGAAATCGCTGAGACAAAAATGAAAAACGTTATTTTAGCTGTTTGCAAGATAACTCATTTTTCTTCGACAAATTAGTAGAAGCAGTGCGCTTTAACTGAAAAAGACAAGAAAGAAAAAAAACATTAGATGTTCACCTCTTTCACTTCTAAATCTAGTAGGTACATATTTAGGTTGAAAAAGGCATAATTTCTTCCAATGGGTAAAAATCCAAGGTTTGGAGAAAAATTAAGTATTAGATTTGACTTCACATTTAGTTTTCTAGACAGTAATGAGGATATGCATTTTGAAAATAAAAAAGAAGAAAAATGGTGGATGGCATAATCCAAGACTTGCAAGTTCTATGGTTCCTTCCACTTAGGTCTCAGCAATGGTACAATTTAGCAAGGAGTCAAAATTTTAATCACCATTGATTGACGGCAGCAAAGTGACTAAGACTAAAGTAGGCATTGCGGAGATTGGTTCACAAAGGCTTTGAAAGAAAATAAGTTTTTTCAGTAAAAACACCATCCTGATTGTTAAAATTATTTGTTTGTGGACTGGACAAGACAAGACTATAAAGAGGAATGGAGTTTGTGATTGGTCGCCTTCATCAATCATCCTCTGTGTCCTGCTCATGTCCGGTATGATCTTCGAGAAACTAAAATTATCTCCAAGTTGCCTGTACTTAGCTGTTAAATACACCCAACAAATGAACGAAGGAACGACGAAGTGTCTGACAAAACTGATCAGTCACATAACTCCATTCTTCTTTAGTCTTGTTTTATTCGGTCACAAAACACAAGATTTCTGTTATTAAACTGCTGTTGTGAAAAGTTAGTATTCGTTTTAATCTTGATACTTATTGCTCATCTTCTGAACCTCTTCATACTGTCAGTGAATCCCAGTTTTTAAAGAATTCAACTCATAAAATTTTAAGTAGAGTTGTTTTGTTTTCTATTTAAAACGTAAAACAGTAGAATAAAGTACGCAACATTTGATGTGGTTACACTAATTCTGTTTAGACCGTCCATTTGATACATCATTGCCTTTTTAGGGAACATTTAGAGTCAAGAGAAACTTACCACTCAGTGAGGTAGAAAACGCCTGTAATAAAATATGATTCCTAACAGTCCTATTAAAAATGTGCCAACGTAGAGATCCCAATAAGGTCCTAGAATATGATGTAAGTCAAAGAAAAACAGCCAATTGAACCATTTGACCTGCAATCAGAAGGATAATAAGGAAGTTTCAGAACAAATTTTGAAAGAGAGGAGGAATCTGGAATCTGGCCTATAAAAAAGCCACATTCTTTGACAGCCTAAATACGGTTGTGTAGTTCACAAAATGATCCAGCTGGCGATGGTTCAAAAGGGTTTCAATGTCAGCTATATTTGAGGTCCTGGCCCGAGATGAAAGGAGAAAAACACTCTAGAAACAAGTTTTTTCTGTATTGATGGTTGTTGCATTAATTCAGGGGGTTAAGGAGAAATTAATTTTGTGATCAGCAGTGCTGAATGGCAAGTAGTGACATCTATATTACTGTACTTCGAAATCTCACCTTAGACTTTTATTAATACAAGGTAACCAATCAACATCCCTTCTTACAAATTGGTGGAATTTATCTTGTCTGCCTGAGGGTTATTTCCACAAAACGAGCGAACGTGTTGGTTAGTTTCCTTTAAATAAATTAAAATAGCTCAATTTTTCCAAAAAAATTTCAATAGGTATTCTTTAAACACATACATTTTTTGAGCTCAAAAGATTGACAGCAGGGCAAATTCAAAAGTTCTTCTGAAAAGTATCTAGCGCTTGGGCTCTCATGAAAAATATCGTGTGAATTTCAAAACTGCACATTACAAGTGAAGTGAAATAGTAAAGAGCCGAAGACAGTGAATTTCAAGTGAGACAAGTCAACAACGAAACCCAAGTGGACGATTGAAATATGGACAAAATTTTAATCGGAGGGCATGTTGCTCATATGGAAGTCACTCAGATGAACAATAAATGGACAAATTTAACAAAAATCGGCTCGACTGTATTTCACATATTCTTTTCATAATTTCATTTTTTAATGAATTGAAGTCACAATTGAGGCACTGGATGCGAAAAGGGCACTTCTCGGTTGCAGTGTTTCAGTCTCCTCTAATATTTAATTCATTGTAAGGAAAGCGAATGCATCCATTTCACTAAAAATTTTACTGAATATTCCTTCCGATTCTAAAATTGTCTATGGAAGGAATTCTGGAAAAATCGTCCATTAAATTCTTCTCCATGGTATTAATTAGCAACAGAGATTCTGAGACACCGTAATCGAAGAGTGCCCTTTTTGCATCCAGTGCCTCAATTGGAGATGGATAAAATCTTATAGAAATGTTTAGTAATGCAATACTTCACTATCAATATTTCCTTCAAATTGCACACAAATCTTAAAATTTTTAAAAATGAAAATCCCTCTTCAATATTGTTGGTGCATGATAAGTATTGATCACCTCCCATTCCATTTAATTCATATTTTGACCACCGGTCCAGGTGCAGAGACTCATCAATAAAAGATAGATGGAGAGAGATTCTCATTAAGGAAACATTAAATATGTACTTACCTCTTCAAAATATTTAAGACTAAATAGAATTGATAACTTTGCTAAGGCAAGAGCCACGGGAATTTTGGCATCAGCGCTTGTTTCTGCCGCCATATCATAGCAGCGCTTTGCTAAGTAGATATCCTGCAAGAAAAAACAAAATAATGAGGTAAAAATCCACAAAGGATGAATAATTGTTCGTCTTGAAGCACTTGAATGGAATTTTTAATGGGCAGTAAGTATTCAATACCTCACCTTTTACTTCAATGAGAGTATTCTGCTGATACTACGACAGATTACATTTACCAAATACATGAGTAGTATTATTGCTTTTGAGCGATTGTCAGATGCTATCCATTCAATTGTTAGTATGTTAGTTAATTTAATCAGACGATCAGCAACTATGGCTAGTTATGTCTGAGTCCGGGGGAATACATTAAATTCTGAGATAGGACACGTATCATTGAAAGCATGATATGTATCATACAAAATAAGTTTTAGGTTAGTCCGTGTTATTGATATAAACTTTGGCTGGAACAAGATCTATGGTGAAATCATTCAAATATTGGGAACATCAATGCCAGGTTAATTGACAGCTCAGAGCTGTCTTTTAAGGTTGATGGGTGAAAAGATGACAAACGACAATATTATTGATACATTTGAGCGTAAACTCACCTTTGTCATTCCTAATCCCTGCTCGTGCATGTACCCTAAATTGAACATAGCTTGCGCATTGTGCTGCTGATCCGATGCCAGCCTGTAGTGCATTGCTGCTACTTCATAGTCGACAGGTGTGCCGAGACCGTAGTAATGATAGTCACCTAATTTGACAATGGCTGCAGAATAACCTTGACCAGCAGCTCGTCCCCAATACATGAGGGCTCGCACGTAGATGTTCTTTTCATCTTCCCACAGGGTCACTTCCTCTGAAAATGTTTAAACAAATTCCACTTCCAATAAAAAATTTGATCAGACGGCCAAGGTCAATAGTTGGAGTGATTATTCTTTGGCTCTGAAGGGTAGCTTAGGATTCAACATGAGTATCTTCAACATTAATTGTTACGGGTTAAAATAAGAAACAAATATTATCTTCAAAGTTTACATACATTACATAGTTTGACAATTTTAGTGAGTAATTAAGAATTGCTACATCATTGATAGGGCAGATGAAACGAAATACGATATTTTCCCTCATTTTCAAACGCTATGCTTATTTTTAACCTCTAAAGAGGACAATTCTCCTTTTCACCTCCTTCAGGAATATCTTAGGACTGAACAAACCTTGAATTTTTGATCTACGCCAATTGCAAAACAAACCTTGAACCTCAAACCTAACCTATTGGTCACCAGTGATTTAAACTTTTTTTCCATTCTAATTTGGTGTTGCAACTTCACTGAGCGTAATGTAACAAAGTATCTCTAAAAATGAGGCTCTGGCGCCTAAAAACTCCGAGTATTAGTCAAAATTTGAGATAATCATGAATACACAAAGAGAGGTGATGATATCTCACGACATATAAGCCATTCATTTGGTGATTTTGTGAATGAGCCAGAAAGAGTGGCCTTTTTGTACTTGCAAATCAAGAGAATTGAAGGTATGAAATAAGAATACTTACGTTTATCTAATAAAAATGCCGCATTACTTTGCGCAACTTCATAGCCTAACTCTGCCATGTAAGCATACATTACATATGCTTCATTAATGTAGCCTTTACGATACAGATTGTGCGCTATCATAAGTTTCTCACCCCACTTTCCTCTTTCTGCAACATTCTTGTAGAGCTGGGGAAAAAATAGAAAACAAAAATAAATTGGAGAAAGTATGATCAATTTTTTTCATAATAATAAAAATTGAAAGTTACGTATTGTTGAACGACATTAAGACTCTCCCTGGTCTTATTAAAAATGAAAGAGGATCACTGGAAGGTACCAAACAAACAGTATTAATTGAGAGGGTTAATTTTCTTTCAAAAAAATAAAACGTGGACAGAGATGGAGACAAAATTAGAATCTGAGATACATATTTTTCAACTTTGGCCATCAATCGCCTCGCCGTGACAAACAGAGAGTGCTGCATGAATTTTCAGAGGATCGTACGATTTCATTAATTGCCCACTTCAAATAGAAATTAAATACTCAAAGCTTTATCAGTTTTTCTAATCTCTTCTAAAGGCATTGTGAGGAAAGCAGTTTTTCCTGTGGCTGGACAGGAATCTCTGTTTCAAGAGGAAACAATAAAAAGACTAACCTCAACAGCTGTGGAACAAGATCGCATGACACCAGTCCCAGTTGCGTGCATTTGAGCCAAGTTGTAGAACGCCAGAACATGGCCTGACTGAGATGCGTGACTAAAATATTTATTTGCTAATTTGTAATCTCGCCGTGTTCCTAGACCATCTGAAAATCAAAAGAAAATTTCCATTCTTAAATAAACGACTTCAAGCAAAGAAAAGATTAACATATTCAATAATTTCGACAAAAACTTACGGACTGCTCGCAAATCTTTTGGGCCAAAATGACAAAAAATTTCTCATTCTGTTGATTGAAAGTGAGCTGAGATAAGTAAAAAGTACAAAAAAAAGGGGCAATCTTGTTATTCACTTTAGGTTTGATTCAGAAAATCTAATTTTTTCAAAAAGCGAACCAAATATCTCCAATAATTTAAAATGTCATTTCACAGAATAGGACAACATGTTGTCAGCATCATCTTTGTTTAACACAGGTTGACAATTAAGCGCAACTTGTAAAGGGATTTTTTTTTTACCAGGAATGGAGAACTAAGCGCACGAGGTTGAAATCTAATTTAAACTGGAAAGGACCCCGCACACCTCTCATGGGAAGCTGCACCATGACGGATTGCCTTCTGACTTAAGTCATTCGATTCTCCTCAAGATGCTGATCAAAAGTTATATGTGCGCCTTATAACTTTCTACGATGCACTGTTTTTGCAAAAATTGCAAGAGAAGATTCAATTATTTGGCGACTATGAATAAAAAAGAACAAAGCATTTGAGGACAGGCTCGATGTAAATAAGGAAAAAGCATAGCGCGTCTCCGTCTTCTTATCTGTACCTGCCGACTCAAGTGCCATCTCCCTCCCGCACTCGCCCGGTAGACGTTCAGACTTTCCTGTTCTTATGCTCCTCAAGAATCTGATTTGGATGGTCGAGCAAAACGGCAAGCGGAATCCGAGATAAGACTGCCGCTCAGTGCGGGAGTTCCCCTGATTTGTTCACTCGAGTACTGAAATGAGGAATCTTTCTGGCTTTTTGTCGCCGAATAATTGAATCTTCTCTTGGGTTTTTTGCGAAATCGGTGCATCGTAGAAAGTTGGCGCACATATGACTTTTGATCAGCATCTTGAAGAGAATCGAATGACATAAGTCAGAAGGCAATCGGTCATGGTGCAGCTTCCCATAAGAGGTGTGCGGGGTCCTTTATATTGTACTACCTGAATTTTTCGGTTTCATTGCTTTTCACCCACTCAAACAAAAACGAAAACCAAAATTTAAATGAAATAAGTTTTTGTCAAAATTAAGAGCATGCCAAAAGAAAACGAATGAAAAATAATTCATGAGAGTACTTACTAAAGTACATAACACCCAACTGAAGTTGCCCATCAACCCAGCCTTGATCAGCAGCTTGAGAAAAATAACGATGAGCTATTTTGTAGTCTTTCTCAACTCCGCGACCCTCCAGATACATCAGTCCTAGCCCCGCTTGTCCAACTGGATTGTTCAAATCTGCTGCCTTTTTAAAATATTTAAAGGCAGTTTGATTATCCTGCTTGATTGCATTCCCATGGCCTTCTAAATAGATCTGGAAAAAAAAAATTATCAACATGAAAAATTTATCAACAAGCTTTTCAAAACATTCTTTTCGGAAAAAGAAAGACAATCCCTCTGTGCCTCTTTTTCTTTCCAAAAATTTCGCCCTTTGATGAGAATGGTCTAATGGGAATTCAACCCATTAATTTCATTTCAATGAAAATTCATGGAAATATCAACGTCCACCTATTAACTTAAGAAGATCACAAAATAAAATTTTCCTAGAGAAAAAAGACATCTTCCCCAAAATGCCAACAGCCATGGACAAGATAATTAAACTGTTACAGCAAGAAAATATTCCATGACTGTACAGTGAGATTGATACTAAAGTGATACTCTCTTAATTTTTATGCAGGTTTCTTAGAATTTTATGGGGTGACCTGAAGATTACAGTTGTATTCTTCAGATGGATCGACAATAGGTGGTATGTTAATGAAATTCAAACAAAATTGAATCGACAATTCAAACCAGGATTTGACAAATTTTATCCTTTGTCAGATCACCTCAAATGGGAATAATCAAATTGATGACCATGACCAGCCACAGTGACATTATGTTGTCACATTGTGCAGAGTACTCTCAGATTAGAGGAAAGAAACTTTCTGAGTTAAGTTTTCTGTTGACAAGATTTTGTTTCCTGTTTAGTGCAAGATTAGTTACATCAAATTACGAAGACAACTGAGGACGTGATCACGTCTTGTCATCATTGTTTGGACCCATAAATAGATTAAAGGAGCTTCTCAGGGTGTCTGATATTTTCCTGATATTTTATAAAAAATTCCTGATCTTTTAATTTTGAAAATTCCTAATATTTTCCTGGTTTTTGATGAAGCCTATACTATACGACACAAGCACTACGGGTGAGGAATTATCGGAAACAAAGACAGCACGACGACTCCTGGCATGGTAGATAAAAAGCAGTAAGATTTCTTCGCTGAGGAGATTCACGTAAGAAAAATCCCTGATTAAACGTCCGATTTTTCCGATTTTCCTGATTTTTTCCTGATTGACCAAAATTCCTGATATTTTCCAGATTTTTCCGGTTTTTCCTGATGCTAGACACCCGGTTCATGTCTTTCTGCTTCCAGCCTTGAAGAGGTCATGAAAAACTTGCCTAGCAAAACAATCATGAGGCGTAACTAGACCTAAAATATGACCACAGTTGCCTCCCTGATTAATTGTTCGTATTGTGACTCCAAATAGTGAACTATATCTCTCCGAGGGCAAATCAGTGTCTCTACATATAATGTCTTCATTTTTCAATTCCTTAACTTTCCCTGACCACTTCTGCTTTTTCCTGGCTCCAAAATTTCCAAATCCTCTGACTTTCCCTGTTCTTTGATCAAAATCTCCACTACATTCTAGATTCGAATTGAGGAGAAAGGCACTTAGAAAAATTGCTCTTATATGTACAATCACAAATGGCATCGGCTGAAGTTGCCGAGCCAACGCTCTACTCGCTAATTCTCTGACTTTTCTAGATTTTCTAGTTGACAGCAAACCCTCCATGTAGTGCAAATTCAACTTTAGAAAATACTCCTTCTAATATGAAAGTCCTCCATAACTAAAACACCTGACGTCATCATGCCTGGTCTCTGGTCATCAAAATGCCATGAAAAATGGTCAAAAAAAAAAAAGAGAAAAACTTCTTACGAATACACCGAAATGTGCTATGTAAATTGAATGACACGCAGAAATAAACTGATCAAAAGGGAACTGAAACATACTTTGCCTAGAAAAGCCATGGCAATTGGATTTCCTGCTTCTGCTGCTGGAATGAAATACTGTAATGCTTTTTGAACATCTAATGGAACCCCTCGTCCACCTTGATAGTGTAACTGACCCAATCCAACCTATAAAAAAAAAAAAGTTTTAAAAAATATGGAAGTTTTAACAAAAAAAGAGGTTTTTCTACTAAAATTCAAGAGATACTTAAAACAATCTATCTGTTATGTTTGCAAAAGCTTGAAAGTATTCTCATTTACTCTTTGAAACTTCAAGAATTGAGTTGAGACGGCAGAAGAGGCTTGCATACCCTACAATAAAATCTCTGACCTTCTTGTCAAACATGCCTTATTACAGGTGATTCAGGATGCCACCCTTAATATGAATGGGCCTGTTGCGCTGGTCACAAAATCGAGTTTTGATGCTTCATTCAAGTAGATCAACTAAAAATAATAAGATCTGTCCAAACAGCAACTTTCTAAGATCAATATGAACCGAGATATCATCCTTGGAAAAGTCAGGTTTTTGACATCATCAAACGCGGTAGTGCCTTACATGGTATGTACTACCGCGGTAGATGACGTCATAAATTGAATTTTTCAAGGCGCAATATCTCAGTTAATATTCAACCTGGAAAGTTGCTGGGTGGACAGACCTTATCATTTTTAGTTGATCTGAAAGAATAAAGCATCAAACATGATTTTGTGACCAGCGTAACTTACCCATTAAACATTAGCATGTCAACTTGTTCATTTCTCATCTTTAAAAACTCCAAATAAACAGGACTAAAATTTAATGACTCATGGATGTATGAAGAGAAATTCATAATTCAATAACTGGACAGAATTTAACAGAAACTCACTACGTCACATCAAGTTTAAACCTAGAAAAATGAGTTCATGAAATTATATTCCTCCTTAGGACTCGATGTTAAAAACAAACTTCCATCATTGTTTTCACACTTGAAATATTTTTTCTCAAATTAGAATTTTTGACAAGAAAAAATTTACGATTTCTCAAATTCAAAATTAGTCTTGACGTCACTTTCTTCAAAATGCGAGTTGATACCTTTCTGTTAAACTCGGCCCAATTGTGGTAAAATGAATTTCTGCTTCGGCCTTTCCTCCTGAGCCAAATTGCTCTACTCTGTATAGGGGACACAGATTAAAATGTTATGTAGGACTGAAGAGAATGTAGAATTATTAGAAACTTAGGTACAGAACGAAGATGGAAAAGCTTACTTGAGCCTTGACATCCCCTTTTTCGGCTAGCAGCTGGTAGTACTCCACCAGGTCATTTTCTAGAATTCCCGTGTTGTATCCACTATTTTCAGCTTCTTCCAGGAGTCGTATTCTTTGTACCATGGGACCGCCAGACAGAGAAACATCCTTGGCGACTAAAGTAAATAAGTACAAATGTATGAATAAAAGGAAGGGACTTCACTAATTTATTTGGCTGGACATGCAATCCATCCTAATGAGCTGCATAATTGCTAACCCTTTTCAGCAAGAATCAAGTCCAGTAGATCTGGGACGCTGAAGGTTTCGATATTTAAATTAATTTTCAGATAGTTCTTTGAAAACTTGATCAGGTAATGAACTTTTACCCTCTCATTTTCCCTCTTTTGAGACCAAGGGAGACCAAAAGGAAAATTTACAACGTCATCGTGAAGAGTATCGTAACTTACGGGAGTTAGGTCTGGCAACTCAAGAAAAGAACTGAAGACATGCTTAGGGCAACTGAGATGGACTTTTGGCGAAGGTCTGCTGGGATATCGAGAAGAGAACGTGTCCGCAATGAAAGGGTACGCGAGATAATGGGTGTGGAGAAGGACATCGTGCACGATATCAGGTCCAAGCAGTTGGTCTGGTATGGACATGTGCGAAGGATGGCAGATGATCGGTTGCCCAAGCAGGTCTTCGATTGGGTTCCTCCCGGAAGGCGACGGCGTGGACATCCTGTGAAAGGTTGGCGACAAGGGGTGGAGGAGGAGATCAGGAGGTGCCAATTGCCTGATAATCTCTGGGAGGATAGGGGGCAATGGCGATTGGGCGTCGCAGAGCGCAAGGCGGCGCTATAAAAGCGACTTTATGTATGTATTTTCCCTCTTTGCTGACAGAAAACGCTTTGGGGACGCATTTAAAATACCTTACTTATACTTATTTTTTTTTCATTCATTAATGCAAATAAATCTAGGTGCTACATATCTCGAAAATTAATATTAAACCAAGTTTTCTAAAGTGTGAGACCTGGAGCAGAGCTACTGTTTGTCGATCAATTTACCAGACTGGAAAAATGGTGACCCCATAAAGTTAAGTGGCGGCTGTTCACTTTAGCAATTAGTGGGAGTGCAGAAAGTTCCAAGCCTTTCCTTATTTACATCGGGTATTTTGATAAATTTTCCCTGAAGACTTTAAAAAAAAAAAAAAACCTCTCCCTGAGTAAGTGACATTCCTGCCTCAAAAGAGGTCAAACATTATGTAAAAACTAAAATGTCCAAAAAATGCAATAAAAACCACAACATAACAGAACGACTTGAACAAATTTTAGGTGTCTTATATGAAAGATGCTAGATTTTCTGAATAAATTGCACAACAGTCAAAGTATTTAAACAAAACCAAAAAAATAACTAAAAAATGTATCTTGCCTAATTGGACTACATTTTGCAAAAAGGAACTAAGAGCATTTCAATGTTGCTCAGATTGTACAACTTAAATCCTTTCAAAAACATTACAGAAATCATGAAGAAAATTGCATTTACGGAGGTAATTATTGTCGTAAATTTCTAGTTTATTGGGAGTAAAGATAAAACTTGTTTAACTGATCAGCTTCTAGTTGCAAGGTGAAAAAAGTTACACAATCTTAGCGACATTGGAATGCTTGTGGTCCCTTTTTGCAAAATGCAATCCAATTCTCAGTCTATTAAAATTCAGCCTACCCCGTTTTTGTTTGGTTCTTCTAGGGTTCTACTGTTTACCACAACTGGCACACAAAAGTGCTGCTTGCTCCTTTGGGAAATTGTTGAACTCCTGGTTTTTTCCTGCTTTTGGGTCAACGAGAAATGCGGCTTAAGGATTTTACTCAAGGGTTTTGTTCTGACTATACATACCATCATTTGCGACGAGACGATAAAAGTCAAGGGCTCTCTCACAGCTATTTTGGACAGTGGCACCGGCAAAGTATCGGTAACCAAGGGCCATCCGGGCTCCAGTGCTTCCGCTGATTGCTGCAAATGTGTAGTAAACCAATGCTTTGGCTTGATCCGCTTTCACACCGATCCCCGATGCATGCAAGAATCCTAGCGCCTGAAGTGAAATAGAGAAAAATTTAAAGAAATGTACGTATTTAAATCTGATAAACTCAAGATTCATTCATTACATGCTAGCCTTCTATAATGAGATGAATACTCTGCATTTGTTAATTTTATATAGCTTTTTTTGTTAGGATACTGAATGAGGAGCAATATGTCTATCACGAGTAATTCAGCGGAAAATTAGAGCAGTGCAAATCATGTTTTCCAGTGCAAAAATCAAGCAAGCACAATAATAAAAAAAATGAAGATGAGTATGAATTTTTGCATTTCAGGACTTTCTTGGTTGAGATTGATTATTGCCCAGTCAAAAATAATACGTTTTACAATTTCAAAACACACTGATTTCTAGATAAGTTGTTTCAAGTTGAGTGGAAAAAATGACGTTCATCAAAATATTACCATGGTGTTCTAAGGTATCGCAAGTGCCAAATTTTACACTAACAAGATGTTTTGTCTTTGATTAGAGATGAAATAGACGCATCTAAACGTAAATTCTGATTGCTATTAAAATTTTGAATTGAATTACAATGGCAAAGGCAAAGTCCGGAGAAAGGGAAGATCTCCAAGCTGTTCAGGATTTTTCCTCTGGAGGGGACTGGAAAATTTTCTCCAGAAAAAGTCATTTTTCAAGAGTATCTGGAATTTTTTACCTTTAGCTCCGTGCTTCTTCATGAGATTCTGGCTACGCTACTTACTGTACAATGGTAATGATTCACTTTGACTTTTTTGTAATGTGCTCTCGCCAAAATCTATTTTTACTCAACACCTGATTGATGAATGATAAGAGTAAATTAACGTCAATCTTAGAACAGTACTTTACGACGAATTGTGCACAATATGAAACTTTGAATGAAGCATAAAAAAGAAGAGCACTGTTTTACTTATGATAGTAATACTAATTGTGTTACAAATTCTTCTCTTATTTTTGGATGGATGAGAAATGCTGTTATTGCAGGAAGAATTTTGGCATCAAAAGAAAACGTTAGGAGTAAACGGTAAGCAACTTACTAATTGAGCTTCTGGATTATTTTGAGCCGCCAATTCTGAGAATATCTGGACCGCCTTTGGTATGTTTTGTTCTAGTGTGCCAAAGAGTTTTGACCAAGCTATGTGTAGCTTAGCATTCACATTTCCCAGAGCACTCGAGACTTCCAATAAAGAATACGCTGCGACGTAGTCAGGTTTTCGCTCAGCTAGAATAGCTTCTGCTTTCTCAAAGTTTTCTTTCCCTGCATGTAAATAAAATTGTTAAAACTTTTTGTCGAAAGAAATGATATTTTGAACCGCAGCAAAGATTCAATCTAAGTAAAAAAATTTCTTACCACGTCACAAAATCTGAAGAATTTAGTCGCCTGTTAGATGATAACCATTTTCATAAAAATATTGGTTCTTATGCATTGGAAAATAGGTGACAGGATGTGAACAGTTAAAATGAGTGCCAGTCTAGTTTCAGATCTCAGCTGAAAATATAGTGGAATCTAGTACCATTAAAATGAACATAAAATCAGAAAATTGTTTGAAGGAGGGAGGGGGACTCTCTTTCAGGAGTTGAGAAAGTGCTCAGTCGAACCTAATCAATCACAGTAGAAATGTACAGACACCTAAAAAGGGGAAAAAATAAGGACACAGAGGGCATTCAGAATTTTTTTCCCATTAAAATTCAGTAATATTTTCTCCTATGGATGTGCTACTTTGTATGATAGAAACCATTAAATGGGTTATATTTTGAGAGGGAAACTACGGTGCCCGATATTTTTCGCGAAGAAAACTGTGTAACATGTTCTTTCATACAAAGAAAATAGCAAAGCGCTCAGTTCTGCGTAAGCAGCAATGTGAAAGCAAAGACCTTATGGAAGAGAACTTAATCTGGCCTCTCGTACTTTCTTATAAAATACTCTTTGAACAGTTTTGGCAGGATTTACTCCATTAGACACCTCTTCTCATCCAACTCCCTAGGTGTAATGCTTTACTTCTTCGGTCCATCGAATTTCCTCAAATTAGATAGATATACATTAAATACCTTACTGATAATTAGTGATCATCTTTTACTACATTTGAAATGACCATCCATGCAACATTTTCCACAAAAACAGCTAACCAATCGACATCAAAACAATTGAATCTGTCACTTCCAAAAGACTTAAGCATAAGTACCAGAAATGATATTACAAGAATAACAATAGAAACTGTATTGTTTCACCAATTTCAGGTTAGATTAATTGAGTAAATGCTTTGATATTTTAGAGCTTCGAGATTTAGACCCAATGTACCTATATAAATAGTTTTTACTGTTATTCTCATATTTTTTATTCTGGCCCTTTAATCTTTTTGAGAATGACCGATTTAATAGCATTCTTTATGACTAAGAGGAAACAAGTCTTATAGGTAACACCTACTCTGAAAAGAAAAGATAGAGATTTGGATTGCAAATTTCAAAGAATCTTTCAAAATCTCTTCCTATATTTTTTTTTTTTTTTTTACTACTTCAAATAGCCCACAAAGGCTAGTCCTGCACTTTGATCCCGTCCTTCCTCCAGTCCCAGGCAACCATTGTCTGAGACCATCAAACTTGGGTCGCCTGGCTGGGAATCAAACCCAGGGCCTCCCGATCATAGAGCTAGCGCTACAACCACTACAACATAGGAGGCCGCTAAAATGCGAGATGGGAAATTCTTTTTGTTCCTGGGAATATTATGGAACAAAAGCGAATGTAACCTTACCCAATTTTTCTTCTTCACTTAGCACATGTGTAGTCACAGGCTCTTCAGCAGCATCATCATTGACCGCTTTGAAATTATCCATTTTTGTATCAATTCCAAGGGCTTCGAGGGCTTCATTGACCTCCTCGTCTGGTTTCGGAATCCTGTCTTCTCGAGACGCAACATGCTCATTCCAGTACTTTCGATCCAGTCGCTCCAACAATTTCTTCCTTGGCTCTTCGTCTTTTTGAAGCATATTGCCATAAACATCCGGATTGGAAAATCCACTAGAAAGAGTCTCGGCCATGCTTTCTTTCTTGAGAATTCTCCCCTCTATCTCTTTCAATTCTTTCATCGTTAGGATCATTTTCTTCAACTGCTCGATGACAGGACGAACATGATTGTTACTGCCTGAGCCGAGTGGTCCTTTTTCAAGTTCCTCCAGGAGGTTAAGCTTTTTTTGAATAAGTTCAATTTGCTGAAACGTATCCTCTTTCTCTGACTGTTTCTGTTCACCAAGCTTCCCATAAAAGTCCTCCTGTTTATTTGAAACATCTCGGAGCCATTCGTTTACACTTATTGGCTGATTTTGAATGGAAGATAATTTCTCCTTCTCTTCCTTTTCGAAAAATTCCCTCTCTTCTGCAGGCAATTCCTTTAAAATTCGGTCATACAGAGCCCGAGCAGCGACCACCCAGGACTTCTCACCAAACTTGTCGGCATCTTCCATTTCATTTTTATTACTGACATCGGCAAATTTCTGAAATGAGCTCTCTAGGATTTTATCATTCCTTTCTTTTAATTTTTTGGCAGCTAGGATGATTTCTTTCAGCTGGTTGATAACATTGCTTGTGCTGGGGCCCTCTTCTCTAGGAGCATTATCAAAATTTTTGAGCAGATCAAGTTTCTTTTTCAAAATCTCGACTTGGCTGCCAATATCATGAGCTTCTTTGTGTTTCCTTTTAACTTCTTCGTAAAGATCCTTTACTGACTGAGAGCTCACATCTTCAGAAACCTTTTCTTCCTCATTTTCATCCGACACCTCGGAGAAAACTTCGACTCTTGGTTCTGTTCTAAGTGAATTTTGGTCTTCATTTCTGTTAGCTTCAGCTGCCTGTGCTTCAATGAAGTCCAGGGACTCTTGTCTCTTGCTTTTGCTATTATCATTGCTGTTTCCAATATTACTGCTATCTTCAGACGCTGATAAAATGATTGAGCAGGAACTTAAAAGAAAGAGAAAGATCAGTCTGTGCATTCTCTTCATTTTGTGCTCTGGAACAAATAGTACAAAAAGGCAGAAATTAAACTCTGAGGAAATAAAAAACTCAGAAAAATATGTATCAACTTCTAACATGTCCAATAGATGAGCTTGCTGTAGACAAGTCAGTTTTCAATGTTCTGTTTCTAAGTACATATACTATTCCACAAAAGTCACTGCCTTTAACAAGGATGTATGGAACCCTCGGCAAGGAGACTTCGGGATATGTTCACCAAAAATCGTGAAAAAAAACTTCTGGGGGCGAGTAGAAATATTCTCTTGTGGCAAAATTACAATATTCTGAACTTTTACCAAAGTACCACATTTGCATATAATTTTTGGTACAAAACGGTTCTATTGGATTCTCTTTCGAGAGGTGCACTCCTTGCACCCAGCGCCACAATAGTTGTGAGACAATCTTCCGTCTGCGCATACTACATGCGATAGCAACTCTCATACAGCCTACTGCACCATAAACTGCTAGTGCTGCTACAGAATCACTTCTCCAATAGTTCTCTGCGCTATAAGATGAGGAGGTTACTTGGAGTCCCTCGCCTGATGCTACATAGCTGAAAATTTGATGGTCTTCAGATAAGTCAACGCAATTAAAATTTTTGCCTCTACCTTTAGAAGTGAAGAAATTCTTCCAATTCTGTTGGTGATTGGTCTAGTCATAAAATTAGGAGGTGATAAAACCCTTCATTGTGTTGAACATACGAGGGCATTTCCACTGGTTGTTGGAGAGTATGCAGGAAAAAATTATTGCTGAGGCTTGGAATTTAAAGACTAGTAAATTTAAAGAATTGAAGCATTAGCAGACTTTACTTACCAGAACATTACAATCAGAAGAACAGCAACAATAGTTTCAAAAAAAGAGAAAAGGCAGCACCAGAGTCTTGATACACATCATTACATACCGAAGAAAGTACTACATGGAATATGCTAATGAAATTAATGGTACAAAAACATTGTGCTGAACTTCACTTAATAAATGCTAGGTTCTCAGTATCCACTATAAAATAAAATAAAAAGCAAATAAATGAGACATTTGGGATTGGATTTCAGGGCACTCGCGTTCTATTACTTTTACTTCTATTTTGTTGTGACATCACTACCAAAACACACGGGTTCTATGGAGATAAAAGCATCTAGTGGTAACACTCCTGACGCCGATCATCGATTTTGCAGGTATTTTGCAAAGCCATCTTTTTTTCACTTATTTTTAGAAGAAGACAAAGATAAAGCTCATTTGGGCTCATTCTTGATTTTTGCGAAGAAATAATTTCTTTTTAATTATAAATTCATTTAACCCAATAGAATAAATCTCAAAAAGGACGGAGTAAAAGAAAGATACGAAATCAACAACAAGAGCTCGACGAGAACATGATATTAGTCTCTGACCATCGGGCCCGTCCTTGATGACTCCACTACAGATTTTTACATTCTATGGTTGTAACCTCTAAATTAATGCCGAGAAAAGAAAATACCGTAAACAAAAGTGAAGTGCCCTTATCAGTAATGAATTGTATGTAAATTCTTAAAACACTGGCGACTCAAAACTCTTTCAGTAAGTAAAATGTTGCTCAGGATGAAGCTTGTCCTAGTTTTATCGATTTTGCTCATTGCGTGTCAGTGTAAAAAAGCCAATGATGGACAAAAACCCGACTGGGCAAAGAAGGATATCAGGGACTTTTCAGACGCTGACATGGAAAGATTGTTAGATCAATGGGAGGTAAATAATTCCTACTTGTCATATCCAATGATTTAAAATTATCTTATCTTTTTCATAAGAATTGTCAAGGTGGGATCTTTTACTTGTTCGTCTCGTTTCTTGCATGCCACTTGTATCTTGTCCGCATGACTTCTCTGTCTTCCTTCTCTGCCCTCCTCAAATGTTTTTTCAAGTATCACTAATTTTAGATATTGACTCCTCACTTTCCATTTGTGTCATTCTCTGTGACCTATCTTGTATATACAGTACTTCTGTCCAAATGATCTTATGCAACTTGCATTTTAACACTTCAGAAAAGTAGCAACAATTGACGATTTAATGTTGATTGCTCTCCATTCTTCACATCTCAATTTTACTGGGTATGAAATTTTATATCCATCATGAGTTTAAGCTCAGCTCATAATTGTATTGACTGTAAGTGTCTATACTCCTTTTTGTTATCTATTAGTTGAAGAAATATTTAAGAGAACTGCAAGAAGCAAGAGGTAAGTAGCTAGACAAGTACATTTTAAGAGAAGAAACTAAGAGTATCTATCAGCTATGTCAAATTTGACAACTAGTAGAAAAATAAAATAAATAAATGAAAATTTTACATAATCTATCAAAGATCAAAACAATTTTATTAAAATTAATCAGTATAATACATTGATTTTTGATGAATAAAAAAAAAAAAAAAAATCTGACAGGAAAAGAGTTGCCATCAAATTTACCTTTTTACGTGTCACAAACAA